GGCTCGGCACCGGGCGGGCGGGGTGGAGACGTGGCGCGGCGCGCCCCCGGGTCGCTGCCTTCCCCGGCCTGAGGGAGGTTTTTTAGAAGCGCTGGGGCGATGGCTGGTTCGGAGGAGGCGGGGAGTTAAACGGAGCCGTTCGGTGTCACCGGGAAAAAGGGAAACCGTACGCGGGCTTGACCGGTTGTGTTCCTTCAAAAAAAACACAAAATATAAAAAAAAGATGCCATGAAATACAGAATAAACCCAGGAGCGGGAGGAGGATGGAGCACTGAGGCCGAAGGGTCCGCGTGCCCCCGCACCCGGTCTCCAGCTGTAGCCAGAGGCAGATGCTGCCCGAAAAACGGTGTAAGAAGGAGGGCGAGCGCGGAGAGCCTCCCTCTCCAGTCCCTTCCTCGCCTCCCACTCAGGGGTGGAGGGGCTGAGCGGCGAGACCAGGCAGTAATACATTAACTTTTCTCAAAAGAACGGTCTCGTATCACGAAGGCATTCACCCTGGCAGGTATTTCTGCCTCTGGAATCTGATCCGTGCTACAGTTTTCATCCTCGATTAATTCCCGGTGAGTCCCAGCACCTCTGCAGCTCTCCAGCCTTCGGAGCAGGTAGTTGGCTCTGTGAATCGTATGCCCTGTTGGCTTGTAAGAAAGACGGAGAAATCTCAACGACTGAAAAATCAAAAGGCTTGTCTAATACAACAGCACCCTCTTCCAAACGCCCTGACATTGTGATGTTTAAACAGCTGCATTGTACTGTGCAAAAGCTCTGTCAAGCAGCAGAGCAGCCAGCATGATCTAAACCTTTAGAAAAAAAGAGGATAAACACTTCTGATTTCCGCCCCACGAGCGTGTGAATTGTACAGGCCCCTTCCATCTAATAATCAAAACTGGCTGTGAAGTGAAATAACCTGGAAAGTTCTGGTTGCTCTGAGAGGGGAAAAAAAAAGCATCACAAATGTGTGAACATCTGGAGGTGCCTAAAACCACTGAGCAGCTCCAAATCGAAGGTGCATGACAGTGCATCCAGTAGGTGAAGAGCGAAATTATCGCTGATGTCCACAATGCAGCTGCCTGTTGTACGTATTTTCTTCAGTGGCTGCAGCCAAATTTCACAGAACTAACATAAAATTTAGGAGTTAGAAGTCATTTTACCAGTTCTTTTCTGTAATAATATCCTACTGCTAGGGAAGGGGCAAAGCCATCCGGAGTTATTCTTTAGTAACCAGTTCAGAGTGGTCCGGTTTCTTCTCATTCTCTCCATTTAAGAAAGAGAAGAGGGGAGAGTGGGAGCATTTGGTACAACAGGTCGAGCTGCTGCTGCACTCTCAGCTTCCAGACGCAGGTCCCTGGTAAATAAAGATTCACGATGATGCTCTGGTTTGGGTCAAACTTGTAAAAGATCCGTGCAACATAATACAACCTAAATACAATGTAAAACTTGCAGCTCTGTGTTTCTGCTGCGGAAGGGCCTCTGCTAATGCCCCGTGATGTCACTCCGAGTTTTGCTCCTGACTTTCATGGGCTTTCAATCCGGCACGATGAGCGGAGGTGAAAATCCATCTCCCCCGTCCCCAGGTGGGAGCAGGTTCCTGGCGTGCTGCCGGCGCAGGGACAACCCCGGGACTTCGCCCACCTCTGTAGTGCTTTGCCTTCCCAAACTTGTCACCTTGTGAAGCCCTGTTTCATGATGCCTGTTACAAACTGTAACATTATTTCTTTCTCCTAATTTTGGGGGTTTTGTTGTGTTTTTCTTCATTTTTTTGGTGGTAGGCAAAACGAAGATAATGAAGAACTTTTGCCAACTGGAGAAACCTCCATAGACTCCTACCCAAACTGGTTAAAATTCCACATTGGCATTAATCGGTACGAGTTGTATTCCAGAGATAATCCTGCAATTGAGGCTTTACTACAAGACCTGGTCTCCCAAAAGATAACAAGTGTTGGTATGTTCAGATATATATCATTTTTTATGATTATTTGCTCATTGTTCAGGATCTCGTTGCTGTTTGAATATTAATATTTTGCATGGCTTCTCTCTGGCGTGCCTACAACATTTCTTCCTGACTTCTGCGCTCATTTTCCCTGTTGAAGAGATATTGCCAGCTCTGTATTATGTGAATAATTGCAAAGTCTGCCCGCAAGGCAAACCCCATTCATTTCAGAAATCTGTTAGTCATGATCAGGCTGAAAGTGCTTTCTTCAGTTATTTAAAAAAAAATTATAATAAAAAAAAATGGCAAAAAGCAGATAGCATCTTGCACGAGCAAGGTTTGTATTATTAGCTGATTATTATTTAAAAGGCTGTGTCTGCAGTGCTCGTCCTCCTGAGGAAGGCGAGAGGCGGCTGACCTGCAGCGATGGCTGCAGGAGCATCCAGCACCGCGGGGCTTTGCGGAGCTGCAGCTTCCCCGGGCAGTGCGCAGGGAGCTCCGGGTGAGCCAGCCTCCTCCCGCTGAGCAGAGTTCAGCTCTGTTTATTCTGCTTGTAAATCCACAATGGGGATGTGCCCATGTCAACCTTTGGCTCTGGTTAAACAAGGTGACACAGTTCGGGGCTTTTCTCTAGGGCTGTTTAATGACAACGTGTGTCTTCCTGAATCTAGCTGCGTAGCTGCGCAAGGAAAATAAAAACACAACCCCAAATGAAATCCCTGGGATACTAAACAAATGCGCACCCCGTGGTGTTCCATCGGCCGCGCAGAAAATGAAGTTACTTGCGCTGGCCACAAAGTTGCGAAGTCCGTTTCAGTGGGATGAAATAGCAGGAGCAGGGTAAAAGTGCTGATGGTGTGTTGGCACCGCGGGATGAGGTCAGCAGGTCTTTCACCCTGCAAGGCAAAAAATTCCCCTGGCTTCAGCATGAAAGGGCCTGGGCAAGAACAGCATGAGCAGCCCTAAGGTTTACATTTTCCATCGTGTGAATCACAGCGGCTGCTGAGTGGGAGTAAGGGAGATCCTCGGTCATCAAGAGTGGGCTGATTTAGCTGATCCGGATGGAGTAGGTGTAAAATGCAGAATGGCACAGGAGAGCTTTGCCTCCAGGAATCGAGCTGTCCGGTGGCTCAGCACACAGCTCTGCGCTGAGCTCGGCTGGGGCAGGATTGTGAACAAAGCGGTTTGCGGTACCCAGGTGCCGTCCCACATGCTGGATGCAAGGGTCCAGTGGACACCTAGCTCGTGAAGGACGACAAACACAGGCTCGTTTATTAACCTGGGGTGGGTTTTCTGTCCCCAGAACTCTGGATCAGAGTGATTCGTCAAGGAGCTTGGGTTTGACATTTAAGCCATGTATTTTCCCTTCTCCAGCTCAGATGTGACACTGCTGGTAGCAGCAGGCTCTGCCCATGCCCCTCTGGTCTGCGCTGAAGGGTAACGAGGACACCATACCGGACATGGCCCGGGTGCTCTTCTCCTTGCCATAACCCCCACCTTTCTTGACCTCTGCCCTCACCTTTCCTGACCTCTCTCTTCAATACCAAGCGATTTCTGGAATATTAGTGACATGTGCGAGTGGGAATTGAGCCAGCACTTTATAACAAGTGTGCTAACATTGCTCTTTGAGCACATCCACCGAGGAAGAAAAGATGCAGGCCATGCCCTTCCCAGTCCCCCGCTGAGAGCAGCAGTGCACCAGGCAGTTGACCAGGCTGTCCCCAGCTCTGTGCAGAGGTGATGCTCAACCAAACCATCTCCTGGCTCGTCTACGGAGGTTTGCTTAAAATGCATTGGCCGTAGCGGTGTTTTGTACTGCATGCCTGCGAACTGTATCGATCTCTGTTTACCTCTTCAAGGGTTTAGACCTCAGTGATGTTGTCTATGCAGGAGGAGAGCAGCGTTTGCAGCAAACTCGGCAGCGTTTGAGCCGTGAAGTCTGGCACTTCTGCAGAGCAGTGGGATGGTTAAGGTTGATGTAGGGATGTTGAAGCTGGTGGGAGAAAAAGGGAGGTAGGAATGAGAAATAATAGGTTAGCAGTCACTCTTCACTTGGTCTTCTGGGCTTGATCATCACTTGTGCCTCTGGGCGTGTTGCTTAACCTCTCTATGCTTCAGTTAACCTAGCAGCAAAATGGTTAGCGTAAAAAATAGGAGTGAAATCCTGACCCTGGTGACATAAGTGGAAGTTCTGCCATTTACTTCCCTGGGGCCATGATTTAACCTAATGTGTCACATAGATGTGTCGTAAGGTTTCCGTTAATTATGATTTTGATAGAGCTTTCAGATCAACGGGGGGAAAGGGCCACGGGACCAGAGAGGAAGATTTATGATTGTTATTAGCGATTTCCTATGGGATTGTCTCTCTGTTAATGTTTGAACAAGGCTCTTCAAGCATGGTAGGGCCTCTTATGCCCCTAACAAAAATGCAGAGCCATGGTTTCTATCAATGATTCAGTATGATTTCCATAAACTAAAACACGAGGTACATTTGGTATTGGTATCAGTCGCTGTGGGAACTGACAGGGAGTGATTGCTACACATATATCCCAGTCTAAAATCAAGCGTGTGGAAATGGAAGGGTACTTTTGCCTATATAGGGATGCCAGGATCTGAATTTTGTTGGGAGCATCCACTGCCTGCCTCTGTGGGGATTCAGGAGTTTTATCAGGTTGAAAAGCAAGAAAGGGCATATTGTTAATATACTGTTTTTTATTACACAGTGCGGCATCTCTTATTTTAGGTTGCAAGTTCTTTGGGTGTTTAAAAATATATGCTTTAAAATAATACCTGCCAGTTTTCAGCTTTACTGCAGAGCAGCAGCAGGGATTCAACAGCATATAGGCTGATTAATAAAGAGTAATATATTTGACCAAATGTCATTTATAGGGCTGTTACATTCTGTCGTATATTTCTGCATGCTTTCTAATTTGCTGGTTTTATTGCTTATGGTGAATTTTTGTAGTTTTGCTTTTTTTTTTTCTTTTTTAAGGCAGCTACAAAGATGCCAGGTTAGAAGTGTAAAATAAATGAAAATCTTCATAATACCCAGTCTTCAGGCTTCTTTTTGCAAGCAGGACAATCAAATATACAGGCTAACATGCATTAGATCAAATGGGGTATTGCTTTATCCAGTTTCTTCCCAGTATTCAGATTTGCTTTGGCTCTAACAGAATTAGGTGGTTTGCTGTGCGGATTCTTGATACCTACAGTAATTCGATCCAAACTGCAGCTAAACATCTTGCTTAGCCACATTGTAATTTCTCTGCTCAGCTTGCATTATTTATGGAGGAGAGTGGTGACCAGATTGATCCCCCGCCATCAGAACCGCTCACACGACTCTGTAATGTGCAGTGTTATTTTAAAATGAAAATGGTGACAGAAGCAATTCCCAAGAGCAGGGAGCACCAAGGTGACATTTTCTTGATGTTAAAGTTTAAATGGAACAAATCCTTGGATGGGAAGGAGCATCCCATTCAGCTCCCACAGTGACACCTAGAGCTGGCCTTGAAAAGGACAGGGTTACCCAGAGCTTTCAAGCTGAGGATGTATTCTGTGCCCTGCATCAATATATGTATTTCCTATTCATTTTGTTCAGCAGAAAGGGGTAGCTCTTAATTTGATTTAATTCACTGAAAATTTCCTCTTGCCATAAATAGGAGCCTAGAGAGAATTGTTTTTCCACTGAGCACTGAAACCCAGTTTTCAGAAGCAGCACATGCACAGGCAATTGCACATTTCCTTTGCCTTTCATAACCGTTTATTGCATGTGTAAATAACCATAGTTAGCGATTTTCTTGTGTATTTACAAGACGTCTGTGCATAATTGTGGCAGCACTGTCAGCAGCTCAACAGCAAGTATGGCATGGTGCATTGTAGTGGCAGTGCGGTCTCCATCTTGCTTGTGCTGCTGTCTGGAGGAGCTGTGCTGTGGGATTGCCTGGGAGCAGAACAGGCTTTTGCAAGTCCTGTGTTTACCTGGGGCTTATTTTTTGATTCTTTAAATTCTCTAAACATTACCTGACTGAGTTCATTTCTGAACCTGAGATGCCTTCAGTTTGTACAGGCAGTAATTAGAAAGCAAGCACGCAAGACTGCTCACGCAGCGAATAAATGCTGCAATTAACTAAGGTGGACTCTGCTTCAAGTCAGGGGAAAAAAAAAGGAAAAGACAAGACACTAATTATTGAACCTAAATTCTGGTGCTAAACGAAACTATAAAAATTTCATCCAAAGGAAGGGAAAAAGTGCTGCTGAGGACGTGTGAAAAACATGATGAAATGTAGCACCATTGATTTACTGTATAAGAAAATAATGAATCTGCCAAGAGTAAACAGATTGATTTAATGTACAATTCCAGATGAAAGGAGGGAACTTAAAATATACAACAAAGCCTCTGAATGATTTCACAGATCTCTCCCCCTCCAGAAGTCTTTTACTCTCTTGACTAAACCAAGAAAGACCTTTAAAAACAAGTTAGCAGAATTGGCTGAACAAGAACAAATTAAGAGATGATAAGGGCTTGAATTTGTTTTGAAATGTGTTCTTTACAGTTTGAACAGGGCCATGTCTCTAGCCTGGGGCAGAGTATTACTTGTTAAAGCCAATCAACATGTTTATGTTAGATTTAAGCTTGGTCTATAAATAGGAGTCCAAAATGGATCTGAATGTCTGCCATTTGAGATGTTACTGCATCCCAGGCTTTGACTGGATCTCATGTCTCAGGCATTAGCGTTGCATAATTAAATACATTTTAAAATATTCATTGGACTCTGACCAAAAGCCAGGTTCAGAGGTCCTGTTGGGACTCTCACTCTCCATCAGAAGAGCACACGGTCTAGCCAGGTCAGTAGGATGAGGGCTATCATGAAGCAAAACAGAGGAGCTGGGAAGCCAGATCAATTCAAATTCCAAATCCTTTTGGGTCACATCCCTTTGGGCAACGTTGGGTCTCTGCTAGGAGTTAGTACCAGGTGCTTTAGAAGAGAGAGTCAGAAACCCTGTAGCATACAGTTATAAAAAGGTGATTGAGATATGATGGGTAGTGCATCTTTTGTATTGGATGGTGTCTGTGGATCAGGAAGGGAATTCAGGTCTTGCAGTGGTGAGGGGACAAGGTGGGGAAGTGGCAGACGTGGCATGTGCCTGTGACAACAGGCTCATAGATGTAAATGAAGCGGGGATTTTTGGAGGCTTGATCCAAAGTCTATCAGAGAAAACAAGGAATCCCACAGATCTGACTATTCTTTGGACGAGACTTTGATCCCACAGATGCTCAAGCAAAAAGATATCTCAGGGAATTTTTTGCAAAGCCTCCTAAAGTTAGGGAGATTTCTGATCACACCCAAAAGCCCTTGCACTTGGTTAACAGGAAAGGTTAATGCTGCTTTCCATTTCCTTCTGCTTTGGGGGGAAAAGAGAGGCTTTGGGTTGCCTGAAGATAAAAAATAATGATTGTATTGGGATTTGTTTTTAACACTGTGCCAGTGCATCCTGGAGCTGTATGAGAGTTGATTTGAGGTACCTGCTGGGCGCTACCAGGCTTATAAAGTCTTTTACAGAGCTGTTCATGACCTGTGATATTACGGTGTATTCAGAAACTTAAAAAAAAAAAAAAGGTGAATTCAGAATGTGACTAGTGGTTCCCTTGGAGTCGGTACAGCCCTACTTTGCAAGACCTTCTTAAAAATACCCAAGCCTGCTGATCGTAGATGTGACATTGCAAGGGTGTAGCATCTTCCAATTTCTTGGTAAATTGTGTATGCTGCTTCTGGGTATTATAAATTCTTCAGAAATGTTCCTGCGGGCAGTAGATGAAGGGACAAGGACATCTCCAGATACACAAACAATGTTTGTTTGGGATAGGCTTCTGGAAGATGATGAGAGTCCCACTCTTTGGCCGTAATGGCCAGAGGGCCATGTCTAACTGAGCTCTGAGCAGGAAAGGGAGTTCCTGAAGGAATACTGCTCAGAAAATGAGAGGGAAGCCAGTATGCAGAGGTAATGCTAAGTTAGGACAAGGGACTTTATCTGGCCTAGAGGTCTGAGTGAATCATCTCCGAGAAGATCTGCTCTTTTCTGGCATTGCCACCCCCAAGATTTGGGCACCCTGAACTGCTCCCAAGTCTGCTTAGTTTAGAAGTACACAAGGGTCTTCTTGAGTTCAAAAGGACAGTCTAAGCTCAGGTCTTTCCATCTCTGCAGGGATTACAATGTTAGACTCTAACTAGTCTGGACTTGGAGGGTGGCTTTGAGTCACCTCCAGCCTGACCAGCATATCTGCGGCACTGGACAAGCAGCAAAACTGGGAATATCTGCACGTGAATCTGGATGATGTGGGGGGAAGCCAACGTGGAGCTCTGGCATGGGTTGTTGTCCACTATACATGTGGCTTCCAGCATGCCCCGCTGCAAGGCACGATGCAACACCATTCCCACCAACATCACCCTCTGTTTTGGGGAGGTCCCAAGTTTACTCCTAGCAGCAGTGGGGGGACAACATGCTAGCAAAACTTGTGTTTGGTCAAAGCTACTATTACAACCAATTAAGGCAATACAATAAGATGGATCTAAAAAGACAAGGGACATGCTTTTGTCTTACTTCAGCTGAATTCCTTCTGACAGGAAACCAGGCCTTTGTGCCTCCTGGAAGAATTATTCTGAATTGTTAATCTTTTTCATACTTTTCCCTGCTTGGTGATGACACACTCATTGTTGAGTTCGGCTGCTAACAAAACCATTATCTGTCGAGTGGCTTCAATTTGCTGAGAAACCAGTCCTCTTAGTGTATCTGAAACTTTGTGCTTAGAAAAGGGCATACTGGAACATCCTTTTTTCTTCTTCTTGGTGTTGCTGCGATTTCCTAAAAGCTCGGCTTCCCAGCCGTACCTCAAAATAGGTTCTATCCTTCCCTTTTCTCTGCTGGGTTTACAGAATCTTTGCTCTATTTTGGATATATACGTCTCATGGGGGAGATGGAGCCAATCTCTAAGCTCTGAGCTCCTCAGAATTGAATGAAGAGGCACAAATTGCATCAGTTTTAGAGAAAAATCATTGGGTCTTCAGCTGGTGTGAGCAGCTAGGCTGAGGTCAGTGGAGGTGGGGAGAGTTGTGTCTGACACAAAGGACGCAATTCTGCCCTTAGGTACTGAGGCTGATATTACTGACCTGAATAGAGATAGCCCACTTGAACGGGGGTGCAAATACAGGTTATACCTTAAAGAGCTGGGCAACCCCCCTGCCTTCTGCAGCAGCTGGGCAGGGGAGGTGGTGGGGCTGGTCCTGGGCATGGCTATGTGTCCCTGCAGGAGGGAGGAAAGGGCAGCTCCAGCTGCCTTTTTGCTGTCCAGACTATCCAGGAGTGTTTGCAGAGTGTGTAGCTGGGTTGTGGTGCTCCTAGGGCAGCATGTGTAGGGTTTTGGGATGGAGGATTGCTGCTTTTCGTTGCCTTCAGGCTCTGCGCTAGGTATGAAAAGGCCTCCTGCTCTTCTTCCCTCTGGTGCAGATCAGCTGACCTGTTCTGCACGAGAGATGGAGTTTGATGTGTGAAAGCCATGAGCTTCTGCTTTACCTGTTCAGTGCAAGTTATTTAATGCCCTTTAATGTCTCATTATTTATTTGTTCCTTTGGGATAAACTGGAAATGCAAGAGAAAGCTGGGGTCAGCAAAACAGCAAGGCAAGAGGGATTTTATTCTGGAAGAATAATTACACTGACCAGATTTGCATAGCATTTTGTTGCAAAAGTATAGATTACAAGTGCTGAAAGAGAGCTGATGACCTATTAGTAATAAGGCACACAGATGAGTAATTAAAAGAATATGCAGCTAACAGCATTGGTTAGGAAAAAAATGTACAAGCTATATAGGTGGAACAAGGGCAGCTCTAAGCCAAAATTTACAGAGCAAGGTAGCTTGACATTTATGTAGTTCTCCAGTTGACACGGGTTTTGTCAGAACTGTAAAGAAAGGGATTGATTATCTGATCATTCAAAGCATTTTTAAAGGACTGACTCATCCACACAGACACGACTGCCATCGCCTGCCTCTCTGAACACAGAAGTGAATTAAGGAGTCAGGGTATAGGTCATTTCATTTATTCAGAGCAGTTTTGATTGAGATGGTAAAAAAGTAGCTGGTTTGCCAAAGTATGTAGTTACCTTTTTAAAATAGCTTTATCATGAATTAAAATGCATTTTTATGAATTTTTATATTAAAAAAATCACTCTGACTTTAGAAACACTGTAGTATGTCTGTTAACATGGTATTGTCCAAGTTGTTCAGACTGGTATGAATAAATGTCAGTATTAAATTCCCATTAGCTCTCAGTTGGGAAATGAGCGCATTTAATGTTCGAGCAAAGATGGCCCTCGGTGTGCAGTGTAGACCATGGTCCCTGCCACCTCCACGTGCCCTCTCCCACCCTCCCAACAGAGCCAGTGACCCGCTCTGCATAGCTCTGCTCTCATGTACGAGCCACCTCAGGATCCCTTGAAGTTAATGGATGTGCCTGAATACATATCCTTTGTGCAGAGAGGAGAGGTATTTACATATCTCTACTGCTCAGCAACAATCGCAGCAGAAGTCAGAAATTGCTATAGTATCTGCTCATGCTTTGAATTAAGGAGATATCTGCTGCGCATTCAACTGTATATCCCAGTCGCATCTGCCTTCAAAAGCACACCATCTCCTTTCCCAATGTGTGTCCCTTGTTAAGAAGAACTTGCAAAGCGATTGAAGATGGAGAAAACAAGACTCCAGTGGTCTGTTCCTATACATGCCGTTCAGTTAGGGTGCTTATGGAGCCCATAGTGTCCAGCTGAAGAAGACAAAGGCATGTCAGGGAGTACAGTCTATTTTTAGTCCTGGCTGGCAGCTCAAAGCCCTCCCCTGTACTCTGCACCCGCTAAATAATCTGTTTTCCAGTTAGGATTACCCTGCTTGGTGCTCAGATACCTCAGTGCTGAATCTAATACAGAGAAAAAGATATATGATTTTGTTTCAAGGAAGCTGAATGTGAGCAGATCCACATGTAGCATTTTAAAGCGGTTTTGGTTTTTTCCCACAGCGATGAAATCAGGAGGCACCCAGCTGAAGCTGATCATGACGTTCCAGAACTATGGACAAGCATTGTTCAAACCAATGAAGTAAGTAAAAACAGTCTGTGTTGTAAAGTGAGGTTGTGGTGGAATGGCCTGTTGCTATTTTCTAAGCTGTTAAAAGTTTGCTGTAGTATCTTTCAAGGTTAAGGTGTCTGGTTCCTTGGGCTTGCTGCTGAATGTAGAGCTTCAGGGACTGTTGAAACCTTGCCCTGCTAGACTGGTCCTTGGAAGAGATACTGAGGAGACTTCAGATACATTACAGCCTTCTCAGGAATGTTGTTCGCTCTGGTCTCTGTGAAATCTCCCATTATAAATACAGGATATTTTCAGCATTTCTTTCGTATGTAAACTGACTCCGCAGGTCTGAGCTTTATCGAGTGTCAGTGCTCCTCTGGAATACGGCCAGACAAGGGAGATGATTCAGAACAGTTTTGGGAAGAGCTAAATAGTATTTGTCTGATAAATTATAATATAATCCATTGATTTATTGTTGTTTGTATTAAAGGGTTGTATTAGTCATTTGGCTCTGGCTAGGCTGACTCTGTGAAAAAGAGTTTGTCCGAGAGTGGTACTAATGAATCGAGAGAGAAAGGGAAGGACTAGGATGACGCAGCCTGGATTTGTGCCTGCCCCGATCCCACTGAGATGAGGGAAGTTATTCAGATACAAAGTAGATGTAAATGAGTTCTGAATCCTGACCTGTATGTTTGTGTTTTAATAAGGAAAATGACTCTGTGCTTATTGTAGAGAGCTTAGCAAAGACACTTGGGGCCGCAAAATGTGTAATGAAGCTACTCAGTATCTGTGTCAAGGGTACCACTGGAATAATAAATTCATCTCCTTCTTTTGTTCCCACTGTAGGGAAGTTCAGTTAATTTCCTCTAAGATGGTCCATAAAAGACTAAAGTAACTGAGAACGAGGGGTTTGGAATATGTGTTGGCATTGTGTTACAGCTATAGCAGGGAGCACAGCTCAGGGGGTAAGCTGCTGGCTGGAGACTGAGAAATTCCCTGTTTCACTGTAGATTTTGCTTCAGACTGACCTCAGACTTGATTTGTACAGTACAAAGTACTTTACTTTGAAAAGTACAGATTTGACTTGATCTTATTTGACTGCCAGAAGAGCCAAATAATTGGTCCCACTTTTCTTCAATCGAAATTTGAGCAGGAACCCTCCTTATGTACATTCATCCTGGGAATCACAAGGAAATCCTGTGAACTTCCAGGCAGAGCAAGGCATTTGTGCAAAGGCCAAGTGCTTCTGTGGTATTTCCCAAATTGCACACAAATTTCTGCATGTTTCTGGTGGATCACTGATTGTCTGGGAGGGGTCAGAGGAAGCGTAGATAATACTGACAAGTAAGAGGGAAGGTGGTATCAGAGACATCTAGTCCAACATCTTCCCTTCCTCTCTCTGTCCTCTCCCCAAATGCTCAGATCATCAGACCATCGGTGCATGGGTCCAGCTCCCTACAGCTGCAAGTCTGATGCGTATAGGCACCATTCTTAACTGTCCCGTGTGCAAAATCAAGAACCAGGCAGGTTCGAGCAGCCTTTAAGTATTTGGCAGAGTTGTGGTTGCACTGTTGGCTTTTTATATAGTGTGTGATTTCTTTCTTCTCCATTTGCTCAGATGCAGATAATCTAAATCTTTATCAATGGTATGACATTCTAATTCTGGGAATGCTAATGAGGTCAAATCAAAAGATTACTGTTTCTACTGTGCTATACACAGCCTCAGCAACATGATGGATGACGATAGAGGTATAGCCACATTCCTGTGTAGAAGCAATTACTACCATCCACTACAACAATAGCAGAAAATGATGTCTTAATCATTCCTCTTGCTTGACTTGAAGGGCAGCAACGCCCTATTTCTCACTGCTCTTTGCATTACACACATCACTGGAAAAAGCAGCATTAGAGCATTCAACAGCTGTGCTCCCAGGCACCACACCTTATGGTAGCAACGCTGCTGCATTTGTGCTGAGCATCGTTGAACACGTTAGTGATTTTGAATAAGGATGTTTGCAAGCATTTGTCTTCATTCTGATAGCAGCGAACAGGGAGCCAGATGCTCGGCTAGTGTAAATCTTCCTAGCTCCTTTGGCATCTGGTCCCATTGGCCTCTTTCACCAGCTTATGGACTGTTGCTGATGAGGCGAGGTTTGCAGCATCGTTTCTTTACACAGAAATAAGCAGCCTAGAACTACAAATAAAACCCAAACACAAACCACATCAGGCTTTAAAACTATGAGACTTTTTCTTGAAGGACCTTCTTCAGGCTCTAGGCACCTTCCATGCCATTTGTGGTGTTCCCTCTTTTCTGCAGGTTACCCTTCTGATCCAGATGCCTTCCCAGGACAGGAGGCTATAGGGAGCTCACAGATCAGGGCCAGACATCTCTGCTCATCAGGACTGGTGGTATAAAGGAAATCTTTTTCTAAATACTTTAATTTGAGGACCATAAAATATCATCCTGGTGGCTACTTCTACGATCAGCTCATTGAAGGAAGCCCTTGGTGGACAGTCAGGACATCTCCATGTGGTGCATCCTATATGTTTCAGTTGTTACTGTTAGCAGCTCTATGGCTTTTCAAAGCAGCATAAATTATGCTTTTCTTTCTCCTGTGTTGATAAGCCTCTTCATAGAAGCAAACTTCTTCATCAGCCCCAGGTAACACAACCATTAAACAGTACTGAGTGTCTAGCTGCAAATGATAACTGGGGCCTCAGTGCATCAGTCAGTACTGGAGGGGGCAATATGAGCTACATCTCTATGTTAAACTGAACTGGGGCACTGTGTTTTAGAGAGTAGAAATGGCATCAGTAGGATTTCGGGCCTGATCCCAAGGAAAATTGATAATCCAGAGCTTCACGTCCTGTCTGGGATCCAAAGTACTGAAAGTTGAATGGTGTGAGGTACATATAGGGTAATAAGTAGACATGAGGCCAGTCTCTACCTGGATTTGATTCCTTTAAACAACCTGGAAAGCTGTTTTTGCTGTACATAGCTGTACTCAGCATCTTCCAGACTGAATTAATACCTGCTTGGGCAGGGTTGCAGCAGACAGGGGAGACCATGCAAACCCTTCCCTGGCACAGCCGGGCATCTGCTAGTGCAAGGGGAGGTCTCCAGACCTTTGGCAGTAACTTCGGCTGGAGAGTCACAGCAAAACATACTCCATGGCAAATTGCTTGAAACCCTGCAGAACTCATCTGACGTGCTCTGCCCTTTCCCAGCCTCCCAATTCCACGTTGAATTTGTCCAGGGAGCAAACCAGCTCCAGAAAGGCCCAGGCAGGATTTGGAAATGGGGAAACCAGAATCTACCTTTGGCACCTTTTGTGCTCAGTGTTTGACACTACCTGACAACTCTTCATTGGTCAGGCTAGTGGAGCAAATGAGAGGAGGGAAGCTTAACAGTCAGGGAGATGTGATAGCGGTAAATAAAGCCTGATCAGCTGCAATTATTTTATTTATTTGTGGCTCTGCATCTTCATTTCTGAAATAATTGGTCATAAAGTATGGCAGAGGAAGCCAAATCTATTTATAAATCCTATGGACCAGTGTAGATTCCTTTGTTACTTCCAAATGCATCATAGAAAAAGAGAGTATTTGCTAAAACTCCAGGGAAGATTTAATATATTTGCAATGTATCTTACAGTTAATGTGTAGTTTTATTTAGCTCATAACAATTCAATCATACAAAATTATTACCATATGGGACAGGAAAAAAATAGCAACCTCCCCTTCTCCCATGATTGGTGTGTCAAACTGTGCTAGTATTGTAGAGCATAATAAAATTTATTTACATGATCGCTGATATCTGCAGTCGCAACTTTCTGTATGACTTACCAGGTAGGGATGGTGTAGGGCCATAAATTTCAAAGGGTTTTGGCTTATTTGTCCAAAAGGAACATGCACTTTATAGTTTTATTTGTTTTTCCTTTGTTTCTGCTAGCTGTTGGAGTTAAATAGCTGGCTCAGCAACAAAACCAACACACTATTTTTTTCTTCCAAAGACTTTATTCTTGAAGGGGGAGATTCTATGCCAGCCAGAGTCAGTGTTAAGATTCCTATTGCAGATGCTGGTGCCAGGATTTTGAGAGAGGTTTTTACAGTTCCTTACGGAAAAGCCATATGGGATCGAATAGAAAATGATACCTTGCTATTGGAGTTGTGAGAAAAGTGTGCTGTGGTATGTGTTTAGGAATGACATCTCTCATTCCCAGTTTTATAGACTGCTTTGCAGAAATGTGTAGAAGGGGTATTCGTTATAAAATCCTTGAGGTTTATTTGTTCCATTCAAAGAAACACTAGAGTATCTAGTGAACTCACTCTTGACTGAACTGAGATAAAAGCCAGTTCTGTTCCAGTTTTAGATTTTGCCTGATATTTTTGACATCTTTTTTCTTTTCTTCTGTTTTTACAAGTCACAGTACAGGATTGGAAAGAGCCACATGGCTGTTTCTTTCAGTAGCTGAAGTTCACAGTTAAAGTCTTTACTAAAGTAGCACCAATTAGCATCGGGGTGATAGCAGGCCATGAATCACAGCTGATGGTCTCACAAAATCCCATTCGTTAACTGATCAAACACTGCTGACCGCGTTGTTTGCACCTTTTGGCCCTGCTGTCCGTCCTGAAACCGGCTGCTGTAGAAGTCGTGCCACCCACTGGGAGCATCTGCTGGTTCCTGCAGCCCTCAGGGACACGACCCATCCCAGTGATCACGGTCTAGGGTAGACCTAGTGCTCTACAGAAATAAACCTAGCACGCCTTGCATCTTCTCTAACATTGCTGTAGCATGTCTTTTGGCTCAGAGTCACGGGCCCTGTTAGCTGGGCTGAAATCTACTAGCCAAGGTCATGGGGAAGATAATATTTTTGTTTCAATTGGCAAAGCACAGCTTTTTACTGGCTTTGAAGTGTCCTACTTATAGCGACAAAGGATTAGCAACATTCTTTTAGTTTCTCTTTGATTTCCATTTAGGGTTGCTCAACAAATAGTGCATCTTTTGATAGGGATATTAAATAGGCCAAACA